GGTGGAGGGAAATGCTTGGCCCGGTGTGAGGAATTGTTACCCAGCCGCAGATTCTTGACTCACAGTTTCGAAGGCAGATATATTTAAGTTTTCTTGTTCACATCCCAGCTTTGCAAACCCAAACACCCAATGTGTCCCTCTCTGGGATTACCCCACAGGCTCCAGAGGCAGTGAGAGGCAGTAGTAGCCAACCATCTGCCTGGATGAAGTGGGGGAGTTTGACTTGGCATGTTTTTGAGAACTGTTGTTTTGTTTAAATCTTAAAGTATCAGCTCCTTTTAAGTGTCCCCTGACTCTGGGTTATTGCTCATAGCCATCCTGAAGATTGACACTGGATTCCTGTATTTTTTGGATTAGTTTTCCAAAATTAGAGTTTAAGCCTTGGTCCCCAGCAGCTCCATTTTTACCCTTTTAGTGCCTTTTTGAGAAGGAACAGATTTTTTTTTTTTAACATCTTTATTGGAGTATAATTGCTTTACAATGGTGTGTTAGTTTCTGCTTTATAACAAAGTGAATCAGCTATACATATACATATATCCCCATATCTCTTCCCCCTTGCGCCTCCCTCCCTCCCACCCTCCATAGGAACAGGGTTTTTTTTAAAGGATGAGTTATCTTTTGGTTGTTAGGACACAACCTATAAATTACTTTTAATTTCAGACTCTGTTTGTTTCATGTTTTGGAATTGTGTTGCTGTTGAGTGCCACTGTAATGAGCTAGCCAGATTAGCTCTCTTGGTGACCAGCTAGAGTATTCTCTTGCTTTGGCAGACACTGCGTACGCGAAGAACAAACTGAACGGGAAATGGTATTACTTTGATGATAGCAGTGTGTCCCTGGCCTCCGAGGATCAAATAGTGGTGAGTAGGCCCTAATACCTGGTTCCTACTCTTACCTTTAGGGATTAGAGCTGGGAAGAGTCTTCCGAGGTAGTTGGTTATTTAGTCATCCTGCTGGGACAGTGGAAGCAAGGTGTGGTGGAGAAAGAGTTGGCTGCCATTCCTTATGGGACACTTCCTAAATGAGATGCTCAACTCTCCTCGGGGTCTGTCACAAGGCCCCTGCCTTTCCCCACTCCCTGGGGAGGGTCAGCATGAGCCAGCCTCAGGTAGAAGGGTTTTCACAGTCACTTCAGTGTGTGGCTGCACAGGGCAAGACGGTGGATCCCTGAGAATGGTGTGTTTTGAACGGAGAGAAAAGCTGTGGGGGAATGCGTGATTTTCCAACCAGTGAATGGATGTTGCCCCTCTTGTGTTTTAGACGAAAGCAGCTTATGTGCTGTTTTACCAGCGGCGAGATGATGAGTTGTATAAGACGACTTCACTCAGTTTTCCTGGATCCTTTGATGGAGGGACGAGACCACGCAGCTTACAGCAGGGCATGGGGAATGATGAGACTTGCAGCATGGACACCAACTGATGCTGCCTCAGTGACCCTGCACCACAGCACCAGTGCAATCCCTCAGGAGAACACCTTTGACACTGAAGACTTGCTAGTGTTCCGTCTAAAAACCGGATGAGGAAATGCTTTTATGAGAAAAAAAAAAAAAAGGTTATGTTAGGAGGCTGAATTATTTTTCTTTTTATACAGGTGGTGAGAAATTTCTGTAAAACCTGTGGAGCTGCAAAGTAGGGGTCGGGAGGGGGGCACATAATGGAATATGTCTGATGGATTCCAGAGAATGGAGAGGAACACACTGTCATTGAGTTTGGTGTGGCCATGAAGACCTGCCACAGGCTGCCCTGAGTTCCTGGATTTTTGATTCTCGTGAATGATTACTGTTCCCCCCAGTAGTCTGCCCACAGTAAATGAAGCCTCGACTAAATGATGTCATCCCCTTCTCCCTTGCTGTGCACTGAGATGGGGTTATAATACCCTAAAAATAAGCCACCAAAGCCCATTTCTGTTTCCCTTTGTGTCATCTTGGAATATCCAGCTTTCTTCTCCCTAATGAAATGAAGGTGCTTGGTGTTGGGGTTTCCTGCCCCTCCGTCTCCTGTGGAACCTAGCAGTTCTGTTATGTCCCCCAGCATCCTTGTTGAATTGAGACAGTTGGATACCCCTCTGGCACTTTTATTAGATATCACTTGGAAGTCGGTACACTAAACCGCTGGGTAATGGGTCGCGTCCAGTCGTTTCTCTCCCTGTTGGCTCGAGAATGGGAACCTTCCTGGGCTTGGAAAGGGCTCCCATTCTCGCTGCTGACTTCGGTTAGAAGTGAGATCCCCGCCCCTCCAGCCGATTTTCTTTCGGCGGTCAGGCCTCCGCACGCCTGCCAGGGCCGCACTCCCAGGGCCGTTGTCTTTGTCGTGGGGAGGCCTGAGACCCCTGTCCCCTCCGTGCGTGGTGCCCTTGCTTCCCCTTGCGTTGGTTCAAAGAACAAGGGCATCTGGGCTTTTCTTGTCTGACCTTTAACCTGAGCCGTGGGGGTTGGGCCTGTCAGTCGCGGGCACATGCGATCGAAGACGGCGTGCGCGACGACCGTTGGTAGGGGCGGTGGTGCGGGAGCGTCGGCTGCTGCTCGGTGAGGACCCGGCTGTGGGTCTCCGCTCGGGGGCTGGCCTCTGGGTGGGGGCGGGCCGGATCCTGCGACCGAAGGGGCAGCGGGCTGGGATGAGGGGCCCGGAGCCGGGGGAGGGGGGGTGGTTCCGGCTCCATTGCCGGTTCCTCCCTCCCTGAGAACCGCGGACCGCACCTGACCCCACGGAGAAAAAAGCCCTGGGAGTGTGGGTTTACCTGCTGTCCGACCCATGGCGTGGCTCAAACTTAAGGAAATTGTGGCAAATACTCCATTTGGGGGTGGTTTACAACCTCATCTGTAACATAATTTTCACGTTGCTTTGTGCATTTCCAGTGTATTGTATAATAAAGACATGGTCGCTTTTAGGGGAGATGTCTGAAAAACTGAGAAGATGCAGAAAGGAGCTGACTGCAGCCATTGACCGGGCCTTTGAAGGACTCAGTCATTCCCAGGAGTGCTCAGGCATGCAGAGGCAGGAGCTGGACGCTGCGCCGCTTTCCTTCCCCTTCCCCATGCACAGGCTCCTGTGCAGGAGGCACCCACTGGCAGCCTGCTCCTCTGTGACTCCTTTCTCTCCTGTCCCGTTTGCTCCTGGGAATGAGAGCCCTGCCTTTGCACCAAACCACGAACCCGTGAGTGCAAAGACACGTGCTCTATGCCCCAAAAGAAAACCTCTGACCAGCAAGGAAAACATATCGATGCATTCCTCGATTTTGGCACCTGAAAGACAGTTTTGGAGAGCGGCAGGAGATGGGGAGAACTGGAGAAAAGACAGTCTAAGGTGATTCCAATCTGAATAGTTTAATAGCTATAAATTAGGGGTATCTCATATCTGAAAAAATTGTTGAAAATCCTAAATTGAGTCCATGAGTCCATAACACTACTCTTGCCTCCCCTCTGAAGCTCTAAGACTTTATTTGGGAAGTTTGTAAACGTTCTTCAGAAAGTGTGTGTGTGTGTGTGTGTGTGTGTGTGTGTTTGTTTGTTTGTTTTGAGGGGTTGAGGGGTCTTGGATGTCTAACCAGTTATGGAAACCACTCTGCAGTACCAAAAGGGGTACTGAATGTTAAAGAACCTAGTTTTACAAGTCATCTTATTTTTTGTACTGCAGAAACACATATCTTAATTCCAGTGTTTTTTTCCCCAAACTGGGGAGAGGTGGATCGATGGCTGGGCCCTGACTTCATCCTTGCTTCTGCTCCCCTTCCTCACCCCCGAGCTTTTTAGGCTTTCCCTGGGATAAGGTCTTCCCTAGACCTTTTCTTCTCCCAGGTAGCTGCAAACTGCCTCATCCTAGGCACCTTGATTTGAAGCAAGGAGGACCATATGGGCTGAAACTTCAAGGTTCTGCCATCTTGGTTGCTCTGTAGTCAGAGACTGAAGAAGCCATTTAATCATTTCAGTTCTACAAATATTTGTGCTCATATTCACAAACAATGGGCATTATGATGCTTTTAGTCAGCTTCACTGATTCAGTGGTTCCCAGTCATCCTCTAATCACAGCATAAATGACAATTTAAAGTACCAGTGTTTGTCTTTAAGATTATCTAACACTGAGTTCCCCTCCAATATTTTCTTGAAAGAGGATCTAACCCCCCACCTTTTTCTTTTCACCTGGGGGCTGCAGGAAAGATATGGAGAAAGATTTGAAGGTTGAGTCAAACATGCCACTCAGCAGTTCTAGCCAAGAGGTCACAAAGGATTTGCTTGACATGATCGGTGAGTACAGAGGGCTGGTCCATCCTCTCTCTGGAAGGATAGTTTCTTCACACAGGCCCCTGAGTCAGCAAGCATCTTATAAAAAAAAAAAAAATTATTTTCCACTGGCTTGTTAGATTTGTTTTGCTCACAACAGAGAGCCTTCATGGAGCTGATAACGTGGGGGAGTTACACATCAGTCAAGTCATTTCATAAATGTACAGTTAGAGTGAATCCTTGGAGGCCAGGGACAGCAACCCCTGTTGGTGGATGAGCTTAGATGTGAAGGAAACAGGACATAGGCAGAGATGGGGGTAGGGGAAGAGGAGAGTAGTCCAGCTAGGGGGGCATTAATACAAGATTAGAAGAAAAGTTGGAAGCCAAAAACTCCCCTATAATTCCACCATCCACCACAAAGGCAGCCACTGTTAACACAGTGCTCTATACCCTGTCATAGATTCTTTTTCTATACACACATCTGTATATTCTGTGTGTGGACTATTTTTTTTTAAAAGCTATTATATATTTAGCTTTTTTTTTCTCATTTTTTGGCCACGCCGCACAGCATGTGGGATCTTAGTTCCGCGATCAGGGATTGAACCCGTGCTCCCTGCACTGGAAGCTCAGAGTCTTAACTGCTGGACCGCCAGGGAAGTCCCAGCAGGCAGCATTTTGATTACCCAAAAGATCCCATTTTTCTCACACTGTGTCTTGTGCCCGCAGGTCAGGGAGTAGTTTCTTGAGGGCTGGAACAAACACATGCATCTCTGTATCCTCCCACTTAAACCCTCCTTGGAAACCAAGGAGATGGTTGGGGCTCAATAAATACCTGAGCTAGGAAGGGGGGCACCAAGCCCATGTTAGAATGTGGCAGCCTGCCAGCCCTGGGGACAGGAATACAGGCTTTGCAGAGTCCCCAGAAATGGCCGCCCATTTGTGGTTTTTAACTTGTGCCTGAAATGTCTTAAGAAATCTCTCACTGGAATTGTAATGCTGAATGTTTTTATTTTTAAGACCATACAGGCATCCAAACTATTGAAGAATTGGCTGGAAAACTAGAATTTGAAAATGAGTTGAATCGTGTGTGTGGTTGCTGTGAAGATTCGCCCTTCAAGGCGGAAGCCTGGGCCCTGCTTGTGGACGAGAGCCCTCAGGAAGCCTCGGATGCAGACCCTGGCGGCCTCAAGCAGGCTTTCTATGATCACAATATCGTGGAGACTGTTCTGGACTTGGAAGAGGACTACAATTTGCTGACCTCTTTTAAATACCGAATTGAGTAAGGACAGTTGACTTCAGCTTTGATTCTTTACAGCAGGAGTCTGATGTTAGGGCGTCTGTGCAGGGCAGTCACAGTTGTCATCAGGGGCCATGTTCTTCAGACGCTTGGCAGAATCTGAATTACCCCACCCTTTTTAACTTCCAATTGTGTCCCCTCTTGAGCTGAGAGCCCAGTTTGTTTGTTTGTTTAATGCTGTTGCTTTGAAGTGTTTCTTTTTTTTTCACCTTTTTTTTTTAACACCTTGACTGTTTTTTTGATTGATGTTCAATATACCCAGAACCCAAGGTAGGTGCAGGTCTTGGGCCTCTGCTGTGTGTCTTCATGTTCTTTTCCATGGACCCCTGAAAAAGTACGGGGGCCACAACCAGCATGGGCATTCTGTACCCCTGGGACCAGCCCATCCCAGGCCAGCTCAGCCTGTATGGAGGAACTGGCGTCAAGATGGACCTTGGCCCCAGACCCTCTGCCACATCTGCGCACTTTGCACACAAGGCTGCCTGTCCCCTGCACGGGCCTCATGCCCTCTTCGTGTCCAGACCCTCAATCCCTCCATCCTTGCCCCTGCCCAGCTCAAAGCCCTCTGCAAAGGCCTCCTACTTGTGTCAGAGGGGCTGGTAGCATCCCTTATTAGGTTTCCTGGGCTGGAGCCAACCCTCCACCACGGCTTGAGAGAAAGGACATCATCAGAAATTATTTGGACAGATCCCTCAAAACCATGATGTTCTTTCAGGAAACCTAATAAGTTGTTGGGCAAGGTATCATGCCTCCCTGAAGCTGAGTCTCAGGGAAGTGCCCGCCTCCTAGGCATAGGGGAGTATGGGGGTAAGGAGTCTGGTGCAAAGCTGTTGTAAGACCCAAAACTCAAACCAAGGAGCTGGGAGGAAGTCCCAGGGGCCGAGGACCCCCCCACCAGTCGATATTTTAGGCTAGTGACCCAGCATAGGGCAGGCTGCAGAGCTGACATCACCCCTTTACTACAGGTCTGGAGATTCCTCTGGGCCCCCAGGTAGAGACCTTGCATCTACTCCGTAGCTGTGTGAGACTGGGCACTTGCCTGACCCTGAGAACTAGCCACCGGCCACTTCATGGGACAGGCCTCCGCTGGGGGGTAGAGGGCAGGACGGGCTAACCAGAGGCTCCTTCCAAGCCACCATACACTCACTCCCTGCAGCAGATAATAAACATCACAGATTATGGAATTGGGGTTCACTTTCTATTCCCTGAATAGGAGAGACAGGAGCAAATAAGAAGAAATGCTCACAGCTTCTTGCCTGCCCCACTCCAGGGGGAATGGGGCCATCTGGAGGGAGAGTTGTCAGGCTACTTGATATTCAAAAAACCAGGTCTCCCAACAGTGAGTTCCAAATAATATGCCTTGATGTGGATACTCTCCCACAGAGGATGTGGGGCTTAATCCTCATCTCCCCCAACCCCTGCCTGTCACCACCCCTTGAGGGTGAGCTGAACTTAGTGACTCGCTTCCAAGGAATAGAGCTGGGAAAGGGAAAGATAGTAGATTACATGGAGAAGCCTGGCAGACACCCCTTAACCAAGTGATGAAGATGAGCACCACCCGTGCTGTCCTGTGCACGTCATCCACCCCTGACAGGATACAATAAGAAGGGTGCTTCATTTCCATGGTATTCCTACCAAAACCTCCCAGCCCCAATCTAATTGTGAGACAAACATCAGATGAACCCAGTTTGCGAGATATTCTACAGGATACCTGGCCAGTACTCAAGGTCATTAAAAACAAGGAAAGACTCAAAATCTATCAGCAGCGGACACTGAGGAGACACAATGACTAAATGCAGTGCGGTGTACTGGATTGTGTCCTGGAACGTGTCCTGGAACAGAGAGAGGACATTAATGGAAAAACGGATCAAATCTAAATACAGGCTCAAGTTTAGTTAATATGGTTATTAGTTTCTTAGTTTTGACAAGTATGCCACAGTTATGCAAGATGTTAACATTAAGAGAAGCTGGGTGAAGGATATATTTGAACTTATTGTCTTTGCAACTTTCCTGTAAATCTGAATTTATTACAAAATTTAAGTTGTATTATTTTTTTTTAAATGCAGTTGATCCCAAGTTTGTGAAATGTGTGTATGAGCACACATGCAGAAAACTGTTATGGAGGAACAAGGAGGGTTTAGGTCTTTTTCTTGTCTGTATTTTTAAATTTATCTGCAGTGGACATGTGTCACTTCTGTAGAAAAAAGAAATTAGAGTTGTTTTTTAAAACCCTCATCTTCACCAACCAGCCATGGGCATCCCTCACCAGAAACCTGCCCAGAGGTGACCTTCACAGTTTCCAGGAACTGGTGCAGGTCCAGGGCCTGCAAGGCGGTGCTCAGCAGGACCCTGACAAGGGGGTCGCCCTTCCCTGCGGGTGCTGGACCCTCAGGGCCAGAAACTCTGGGTCTCACAGAGCTGTTTCTCAGCACTCAGTGCTGGGAATGGGGATCTAGCCCTAACCCTGCAAGACTGAAATGAGAGGGCTTTTCTTCTGCCTGTAGCAGAGACTGTGGCCCTTGGGAATGAGGGCGGAGCCTGGGGTAGGGGTGGGGTAGGAGGGAGGGGTCAGGTTTTCTCTGGCTGGATAGACAAATATACCTCTGTTTTAGCAAACCCTTTATGTGAAAATTCAGATTTACCAAAAGGGCTAATTCATCCTGGAATCCTTAAATGAGAAGCGTTTCCTCACTGTAGAAACACAGCTATTTAGTAAAGCAGGTGAGCCCTGAGCCTCTGGCATGCCAGTCCCAGAGTAGCTGGGGTGGCCATGTGGTCATTTCCCTGGTGACACCTACTCTTGTCTCTGCATCCCTGGCTCCCCAAGGTGCCCAAAGGACACTTTCCTGCCTTTGTCATCTGTTTCAGGGTGGTGGGCAGATGTGTGCTCCTCTGCACAGAGCAGGGGTTTGAGGAGTTAGTCTCTAAGGATTTAGCTGGAGGAATAAAAGGAGCCTGGAACATTTTTTGCCTAGAACATTTATTTTAATAAACTTGGGACCAAAGATTTATTGGGGAGACATTGATATTTGAGAAACTAAAAATGTTTTACGTCATTCGGTTCTCTCCCCCACAGTTCATCTTGGAAAGCCAAACAATCCCTGAATTGTTTCCGTGGAAACACCAAACTGCAATTTGGATTAGCAGAATCAAAATAGAAACAAGGCAGCTTCAAGAATAAATAGGAGCTTTGGAACCTGCTAGTCACCAACTGCCAGTTCAAGCTACAGCACAAGGCATGTGAGAAGCTGGGCCCATCCAGTTCTATAAGGAGGGGTTTCCAGGTCCCCTGGCTACATGCTGCCGGGTCAATGCCAAAGTCACTAGAAACCAGCTCTGTCTGCATACTGGTAGACTTGTAACAATACTTAATGTAGGAGCTGGTCTGTAGAAACTAGGAGAGGCTGGGGGTCTGGAGGGAAAGTGGGGGGAAGAAGGGACAGGAAAAAGGAGAGATGAGTGAATGCCGAGTGAAGTTCCAGCAAGGAGCAGAGGCCACAGCTGAGGCCTGAGAGTACAGCAACAGTTCTTTCAAGAGGACAATTCAAGGGACTTCCCCAGTGGTCCAGTGGTTGGGACTCCGAGCTTCTATTGCAGGGGGCGTGGGTTTGATCCCTGGTCAGGGAGCTAAGATCCCACATGCCACGCAGTGTGGCGAAAAAAAAAAAAAAAAGACAATTCAAGGGTGGCCAAGGGCTGGAAACAGTGACCCTATCCTCAGCCCCATCTGGACTGCAATGTTCCCCACGTTCCTGTCTAGCAACACAGGTCTAGACTGGATTCTGAATTCTTGCCAGGTAAGCTCTGGGGGCACTTGTGGTCAGTAAGCGCCTGCTTCTGTGTGGCTCCAGCCAGCACAATCAGGCATGCAAGCCTACCTTCTCATCTCTGAGTCTCAGGGTTCCCTCCCCCTACCTCCTGCTCCCCTCACCAGGGGAATGGGGGAGGCATCTCCTGGCCCACCTGCCCTGGCTCCTTGGCATTCTCCTGTACCCTGCACTTCCAATCCCAGGGAAGACTCCAAGGGGGTCAGGAGACAAGGAGGGAGATAGATAACCTGGGGGACCTTTGCCCCTCACCTTTGCACCCAGGAATGTGCTGATAGGGCAGCAACACCATCCTGCCACTGGAAGAGTTGTGAGCTATTAATGATCAAAGAAATTGATGAAAAGGATTTGCAAAAGAGGCCAATCTCCCCTCTAACCGAGGCACAAGACGTTTAACATGGCAGTGAAGGCCAGTGAACTAGGCAAGCAAACCTGGGAGGCCACTGCACCTGATTATGGGTAGTTATTGGAAAGGCTGTCATCTAGAGACAATCTGAGACTCTGGTAATTTGCTTTCTCCCTGGAGTATGTGGGAGAACATTAATATTTTAGGTTCCAGCTAAATATTTATAGAGGGAACAAAGTTTTACTCAGGAAATCTGTTTGACAGTGGATTCCAGCCCTAGTGGGGAATCCGTGCTAGGCCAGCTGGAAAATGCCTGATTTGATGAAGAGTTTTGGCCTAAGGCCTGGCATGAAAAACAATTGCAGAACTACGTTCAGCTCTTGTAGGAAACCACTATCTTTTTTGAGGGCAAAAAGTCTGTTGTTTTCTGGGCACTTTGGGTGGGAGCTGGTCTGGGAGAGAGGAATGGGCATCTTATAGGAGATACGTCATCAGGACCCCTTTGAAACGTCTGAGACAAAGAAGGGAAGTTGCAAAGGGATACCAGAGAGACCCAACTTTCAGAACAGGCTGCTAGGAGCTGTTTGAAAGATAAGCAAGAGATCCCTGCTCTCAGTAAGTATTTATCAAGTGTCTACTAGTGCCAGACACTCTCCTGGATGCTGAGGATACAGTAGGGATGAGGCCGATGCTGCTCTTGCTTCTGGAGTTTATATTCTACTGTGCAATGTGGGCAAACACAAAAATACTGATATAATATATCATTTCAGATGGAACTGTATGAGAAAAATTAAAACAGGGTAAAGGAATGGGCAGTGAGTAGGGTGAGCCCCTTCAGAAGAGGAGAGGTCAGGAAAAGGCCTCTCTGTAGGTGACATTTAAATTGATACTTGAATGTTAAGACAATTAGGTGCTGCAAGTGGCTTCACTTCCATCCTCAGACTGTAACTGGAGTTGTATAGAGGGAGGAGCCCCTAGGTGGGCCCTAGGCCGGTAGACCTCCCACCACATCCACCCCTGTGTGGCTACATACATCTCTATCAGCATCCAAAGAGCCAAAAATGTTGCATGCTCCAGGGACGTGCCTGGGCTGTGTTGTGCTCACCAAATTTGGCAGGAACACAATAGTTTAAAAAAAAAAAGCCTTAGGAATAAAATAAGAAACAGAATATCCTTTCCGATGATTGCCAGAGACAGGCAGCATAATTTTAATTAACCCAGCCCTGTTAGGCGGTAAATTTACTGCTCATTCTACAAAAACACCCAGCTCATGTAACACTGAGTCACTCTGATCTTTGACTTTAAACAAAATGAAATACTTTTTTTTTTTTTTTTTTTTTTTTTGGCGGTACGCGGGCCTCTCACTGCTGTGGCCTGTCCCGTTGCGGAGCACAGGCTCCAGACACGCAGGCTCAGCAGCCATGGGTCACGGGCCCAGCCGCTCCACGGCACGTGGGATCTTCCCAGACTGGGGCACGAACCCGTGTCCCCTGCATCGGCAGGGGGGCTCTCAACCACTGCGCCACCAGGGAAGCCCCAAAATGAAATACTTTTGAAGAAATACAGGATTTCATAACTCAAAGCAGAATCAAAGAACAGAGGGTCCTGCTTTGGCATTTCAAAGTTGGACAAGACCCTTCATTGAGAAGGCCACAGTCATAAATACTGGTGGAGTTTTCTCAACAGGGTCTCAACTGTGAAGTAAAATGACTAAACCTTTCAACTTAGAGTAATAAAATATTTCCAAATACAGACCCCTCTGATCTACAAGCCTCATGCTAACTGCTCCACAGCCACCTGTAGTCAGTTTGGGAAGGGCTGGGCTGCTTCCTCCAGTGCCGTCCTTGCACACAGGCAGAGAAAACCAGCAGGGAAGGTAGTGGAGGCTGGCAGAGGGCAGGGTGAACAGATATCCAGTGAGACCCACAGGGAGAGTAGAGGCCAGGGCACCCTAAGGCAGAGCCCAAGTCTGTACTTCCTAGGCCTTGAAGAGAGAGGGCTGCTGCCATTGCCTGTGGCTGTAGACTGCAGGACGCCCTTGGTCTGGAAATGAGAGTGAAAGCACCTTAGGCTGGTTCCTGGTAGCCCTGCCGAAGGTGTCACAGGCAAATTAAACTCTCCCAGATTTTTGTGGGATACATAACCCTGAAAATAAAGAATATAAAAATGAGAAATCAGGAACCATTACTTTCTATAATGGCCCACACAGAAGCCCCATTTTCAGGAATTCCCTGGCGGTCCACTGTGTAGGACTCAGCACTTTCACTGCCGTGGCCCAGTTTCAATCCCTGGCCAGGGAACTAAGATCCCCTGCAAGCTGTGTGGCACGGCCAAAAAAAGAAAAGCCCCATTTTCAACCCTGTACTGGCTTGATAATAGGCAAATTCTGGAAGCTGTCCATCCATGAGGATTTTTACTTTCATAAAAAAAAGAAAAATCAGGGCTTCCCTGGTGGTGCAGTGGTTAAGAATCTGCCTGCCAATGCAGGGGACACCGGTTTGAGCCCTGGTCCGGGAAGATCCCACATGCCATAGAGCAACTCAGCCCGTGCATCACAACTACTGAGCCTGTGCTCTAGAGCCCACGATCCACAACTACTGAGCCCACGTGCCTAAAGAAGCCACCGCAATAAGAAGCCCGTGCACCGCAACGAAGACCCAACACAGCCAAAAATAAATAAATAAAATTGAAAAGAAAAGAAAAATCAGTTTGAGTAGGGTGTGGTTTATTCAAAATCATCTTATGAGAAGCGTAAGGAATAAAAAGATGGTACACACCTTAAAAGTTTTATCTTTATTTTTTGATTTTTTTGTATTACAAAAGAAGTACATATATATTGCAAAAAGTCAAAAACTTCAACAAGATATATTGGAAAGCCAAAGTCTCATATAAGTGCACTGCTCTCCAGAAATGATACAGGGCCCACAGCCGCTCTCATTAGCTTTAAAAGAGTGGTTGAAAACAGGACAGGGGAAAACGGCTAGAAAGAAAAATGGAACCGTGTGCCTGTGAAGAGTGTGGTTCCTGGCATTTGTTTGGTGCATGTCACCTCTCTTTTCTTGGTGGCTTTATATTTCCCTGTTCACAGGAAGTCTGACTTTGTGTGTGCCCTATAATATTTCCACTGACCAAAAAATGCAGATGCTCTCGCAGCAAAACTGGATACAAATAATAATTTTTTTAAAAAATCCTGAGGCCCAGAAAGATATTGGTCATGTGAAGGAAATGTTTGAAGACCAAAAATGTTGTGTTTGGGAGACATCCTGCCACACCAACAGTTTTGTGAGAGCCCTTCTGCTACTGGATATTCCATATGGAAGGCACCCCTCCTTCTACCAAACACAACACCCTCCTCATGCCCCACACCCAGGCTGCTGCCCCAGGTCTCATCACCACCTCTGCACACATTTCATTCCCCTAAATAAGGGTGTATTTATCCCTATGCTTTGTCATGGGCAGTACCTGGTACCCAGAATGCCGGATCTGCTCCCCAGCCCTGCACTGACCACCACTCCCTCCAAAGCATAGCCTCTGACCCTGAGGGATCCAGGCAGGCCTCTGGGAACTTTCTGCTGTTAGCCAGCCCAAAGCGTTCTGTGATTTGTCTTTCCAGCTGAGACCAATAAACCATCAGGTGAATTCACTATGGGCTGGTCAGAAGCCATCATCACTGCTATCAAAACCCAGGTCATAGAGCATATTCTTCCTTGGCTCCTTGCACTGAGGGGGCTCTTTTCTGATTTTGAGGTCACTGAACCAGCTCATCTGTTGGTCCCCCTGGGAACTGTGAGAAAGCAGGCTGTTGTCTTGGGAAGCATGCCCACTGTACTGCAAGAGATTCCCTTGCACTGCCCTTGCTGTCTTACTGGGCATGACTGTTCCTCTCAGAGCAGAGCAGACTGGTTTTGTGGGGCTCCTGGGGCCCTGAAGATGCAGGGGCTGAGCAAGGGGTTCCTGCCACCCCTGGGGGGGCCTTTGTGGGATGGAAACTGGAGGGTGAGGATATTTAGAATTGGAAGCACAGGTTTTGCTTGGGGTTTGTTCTTGCTTCCTGGCTAGGAGCCTGCTTCTGGGGGCTTTCCTGGGGTGCTGCTTCTTGCCTTTCCCCCCTCTTTCTACAGTTCTGCCTTTCTGTTCAGTCACCAACCTTTGTTCACAAGGGTTACACGAAAATATGCCTTTGGCTTGACATTTTTGGCAGGTGTTCTTAATGCTGGTTGCCAAGTTGTTTAAATCCAGGGATATAAGCCGCGAAGCTCCTTGGGAAACCAGGTCCCTGTCTTCAGGAATCTTGTGGCCCAGGATGCCAGAGCCATTGTTCTCAGAGCCTGTTTTAGTAATAGCACAATTCTGGCAGTTAGTCTGCACTGGCTTGTCCTTGATTTGCCTGTTTCTTTTGCTAGTTCCAACTGCCAGCGGCACAGCCTCCTCTTGGAGAGCACTACTCTTTGCTCCCTCACCCCAGACGCCAGACTCCCCAGGCCTCAAGGAGCCCACATTAAGATTGCATGCAGCAGGGAGGGCCTGGGCCTGCCACACAGCTGGTTCCTCAGAGGCATATTTCTCCTGCCTGGTGAAACTGAAGCTCTGGGCCAGAGGTGGTGAAGTCTGAGAAACACTGTCCTTCACATGTCTCGGTATCCGAGGGACAGAGATCAATTGATTTAGCTCTGCTAGGACACTGGGCATATTCAGCTGACCTAGCTGCTCACACAGCTTCTGGAAGTCCTTACTCTGCTGAGCAACTAAAACTTCAAAGTGCTTCAGGTTGGACTTCATTTCTATAAACTCTGCTTGTCTCTAAAGAAAGGCAATGAGAAAGAAGGGAGTTACGGACAGTGCAACTCAGAATGCACAATATAATGTATGAACAAAACAAAGGATGGGCCAGCAGATCAAAACCTTGTCCCTTGCTGGGTACTATCCAGGGGATACATGGCTACACTCTGGAGCAGGGTCCCTAGGGTCCACATCATGCCAGAGAACCTTGGGAAAGGAAGCTGGCCTCTACCCTGGCCTGTTACCAAGGGGCCTGTGGTGGCCTCTGTTCTTGGCTGAAATTTGCAATTTTAAAGGTGTCTCTCTAGGTCTTAGTAACAAAGCCATAAACACACTTGAGGAAAGGGGTCAGGGTCTACACTTACACCTTCAAATCTCTTTTGCAGCTCAAGGATGGCCTGTTCCATGTTGCATTTGTCCCGCACTGTTTCCAACACCAGATCACTCTGGGCCTTCATGGTCTCTTGCACTAAATACAAAACAATGACAATTCACCACATGAAGACTATGGTATGCCCCACCCTGCCCAGGCCACAGTCGTGGAGAGGGAGAAGCTGGAACCCGGCACGGGCTACCAGAGCCTGCTCTGCCAACACCCAGAACTCTAACCATCCAGATCAGCCCTGGTGAGGAGAGAAAGCAAGAACAGGTTGGTTCCTCCACTGTCTCTTCTTCCCTCCCTCCCTGAGAACATCCTGGCCAAAGCAGACTCAACCTTAGCACCTGCTGGGGACTCTGAAACCTGCTGCCCAGATGATGGCACCAACGTCCTCTTTGGCCAGCCTTCTTGGCCCTGTCATCAGAGTGATCTTTCTAGAATGTAGATATGATCATGCCTCCTCTAAAACGGTCACTGGAACTTTCAATGGTACCCCACGGGCCACTGGATGAAGTCCAAATCTTTCAATAAATTGGCTAACAAGACCCAGGCTCACTTCCCTTTGAGTCACTATCCTCTGCATCTCTGAGCTCTGCCTAAGCAATCTCTCTTCCACCATTGGCTTTTTTTTTTTTCTTTTTTTTTTTTTTTTTGCAGTACACAGGCCTCTCACTGCTGTGGCCTCTCCCATTCCGGAGCACAGGCTCTGGACGCGCAGGCTCAGCGGCCATGGCCCACGGGCCTAGCTGCTCCACGGCATGTGGGATCTTCCAGGACCAGGGCAAGAACCCGTGTCCCCTGCATCGGCAGGCGGACTCTCAACCACGGCACCACCAGGGAAGAGCTTCACCATTGGCTTTTGAAAATGCTGTTCCCTTGGTTTACAGTACTCCTGCTTCCATCCCTCAGGAATGGGAGAAGAAGAAAGGATCCTCAGAATGATGGTGAAGTCCTAAGAAGAGGACATAAAGCATAGCCTGCCCAATCTGGAGCTGGAGGCTGAGCTCCAGGCAGGACATCTCTAATGAAAAAGTGAAACAGAAAGACTCCCCAATGTGTTTGAACATACTAATTGGAGATTTACAGTTTTTCTTTGTTTTGTTTTGTTTTTTTCTTTTCGGTACACGGGCCTCTCACTGTTGTGGCCTCTCCTGTTGCGGAGCACAGGCTCCGGACGCGCAGGCTCAGCAGCCATGGCTCACGGGCCTAGCCACTCCGCGGCATGTGGGAATCTTCCCAGAACGGGGCACGAACCCGTGTCCCCTGCATCGACAGGCGGACTCTCAACCACTGCGCCACCAGGGAAGCCCGGAGAGTTACAGTTTTATCTGAAAGTTTATTATCAGACACTGTGCTAGGTGCATGGAAACAATCTTGAACAAAACTACTTACATGAACTTTGCAGTCTTGAAGAAGAAAAAATAACAAGTAAACAAACATGCGCATTAATAAATGAAAATTGTGATAAGTGTTCTAATAGGAAATATAATAAAAATAAGAGGGTGGGGCTTCCCTGGTGGCGCAGTGGTTGGGAGTCTGCCTGCCAGTGCAGGAGACACGGGTTCGAGCCCTGGTCTGGGAGGATCCCACATGCTGCGGAGCAACTAAGCCCGTGAGCCACAACTACTGAGCTTGCGCGTCTGGAGCCTGTGCTCCGCAACGGGAGAGGCCACGACAGTGAGAGGCCCGTGCACCGCGATGAGGAGTGGCCCCTGCTTGCTGCAACTGGAGAAAGCCCTCGCACAGAAACGAAGACCCAACACAGCCAAAAATAAATAAATAAATAAATAAAAATTAAAAAAAAAATAATAAGAGGGTGGGGGCACCTACTTTAGATAAGGTCATCAGAGATAAGAGTCATGTAAGGTGAAACCAGAAAGATAAGGAGCAGCTAGCCCTGCAAAGATTAGGGAGAGGTTATTCAGCTAGAGGAAAGAGCAAGTGCAAAAATTCTGAGGCAAGAAAGAGCCTGTGATGACTAGGAATAGACAAGCCAGTGTGGTCTTGGGGGAAAAAAAGTAAAAAGTGGTAAATTTTATATTATGTGTATTTTACCACAATAAAAAATGTAAGAATTTTTTTAGAAAACAAATTTTCTATTACTCAACACAAGTTAAATTCCATGTGTCAAGCAATTAGAAAAAGGCTGTTTACTTATATTTCAAGTACTGGATTCCTGCCCCTAAACTCAATTAGTGAAATATTTTTCCAGACATCCATGTTGATATTTGTAGTAGAAAGCAAATGTAATTGCCCTACCCTAGTTGAGTTCCTAAATATCAATGTTTCTTAGGAACAGAAAATGAGGAAGGCAAGCAAAGTGTTCAATTCTAGATTCAGTACTCAGTAAGCATCAGTCTGTGGTCCCACATATTCTTTCTTTGTCCTTGGGAAACATATGTTCAGGGTCTTCTCCTTTGAAAAGCTTTTGTATTGAGGTATTACTTCCAAAGTCTATTGAATATTTTTCTTTTAAAAACTATAACAGGGGCTTCCCTGGTGGCGCAGTGGTTAAGACTCTGTGCTCTCAATGCAGGGGGCACAGATTCGATTCCTGGTGGGGAATTTAAGATCCTGCATGCTGCATGGCACAGCCAAAAACAAAACAAAACTATAACAGTATAAACAGGCATACAATGAAAAATGATCGAATCTCTCCCATGAAGACCTTGGTCCTGCTTCCTGGATTTAACGTTATGAGCAGTTTCTGGAATTTTGTATCAATACATGTGCATATCCACGTTTAGGTTATAGATCCCGCGTGTGTGTGCACGTGCAAGCGTGCATGTGTGTGTGCGTGTGTCTTCTCTAGAAGGAGACTCATTTCATTTCTGCTTTGTCTATAAACAAATTTTTAGCTTTTTAGTAAAAATGCCATTTAAAATCCACTTCCATATTCTGGACAATATCTCTAGTTTCTTTCTCCCTCCCTCCCTCCCTCCCTTTCTTTCTTTCTTTTTTTTTTTCTGCAAAAAGCTTTATTGTTTCCATTTGGTCCAAGGCTTGGGAAAGGGGTCCAGGGGGGTTAAAAAGCTGCCGCTGGGGGGGGGGGGCACAGATTCGATTCCTGGTGGGGAATTTAAGATCCTGCATGCTGCATGGCACAGCCAAAAACAAAACAAAACTATAACAGTATAAACAGGCATACAATGAAAAATGATCGAATCTCTCCCATGAAGACCTTGGTCCTGCTTCCTGGATTTAACGTTATGAGCAGTTTCTGGAATTTTGTATCAATACATGTGCATATCCACGTTTAGGTTATAGATCCCGCGTGTGTGTGCACGTGCAAGCGTGCATGTGTGTGTGCGTGTGTCTTCTCTAGAAGGAGACTCATTTCATTTCTGCTTTGTCTATAAACAAATTTTTAGCTTTTTAGTAAAAATGCCATTTAAAATCCACTTCCATATTCTGGACAATATCTCTAGTTTCTTTCTCCCTCCCTCCCTCCCTCCCTTTCTTTCTTTCTTTTTTTTTTTCTGCAAAAAGCTTTATTGTTTCCATTTGGTCCAAGGCTTGGGAAAGGGGTCCAGGGTGGTTAAAAAGCTGCCTAGTGGCTGCAGAGAGGGGCTTCAGGCAGAAGCCCTGACACCAGAGGGGCTCCTCGGAGGCCGCTGGGCTCTGGAGGCTCTTAGTCATGCTTGAGGGTGAGCCTTTCGAAGAGATACTGGCCCAGCCCAGCCTGGGGACCAGCCAGCCTGGGGAGATTAGTCAGGTGGTCGCCATCTTCTTCATGAGCTTCACCTGCTCCTCCAGGAAGCAGCTCTCCCGGAAGTCACAGAGGTGGGGGTCTGTGCGGGCAGAACCCAGGGCGTGCAGGTCCACAAGGACCTGGTTCAGGTTCTCCCTGAGCACAGCGGCTTCCATAGAGTCCTGGGTTTTACCCCACTCATCTTGAGATAGCTTCGGCCGCTGTGCTGGTTTTGCCTTTTCAAGAGACACTCGGCGCACTCACGATTCTCCTCAGCCAATTCACAGAAAAAGTGGCCCATGCCCTCCAGAGCTACATCGTCACTACCAGAGAGAGGTAGGTGTAAGAGGCCTGCAGATGCATGTTGACAAGGCAGTTGACGGTAGCCTCTACCTTGGAGGAATAATTCTGACGAATCCGGGAGCTCATGGTTGATAGGTAATAAGGAGTTAAGCTCAAAAAATGGTGTTGGCTGGTCCCGGTGGCCGAGGATAGCTGAGTGGCTGATTGTGAAGGTTGTGACTGGAAAAAAGGATGGGGGTTGGTCAGAGTTTGGAGCAAGGGGCATCCCTGCATCTGTTCCATCCAAACACTGTTGAAGTAAGAGACAGATATGAGGGACCGCCGAGCGCACTGCCAATATCTCTATTTTCTTGTGAAGATGATTTTGTTTAGGGACTTCCCTGGTAGTCCAGTGGGTAGGACTCCGCACTCCCAATGCAGGGGGCCCAGTTTCGATCCCTGGTCAGGGAACTAGTTCCTGCATGCATGCCACAACTAAGAGCCTGCATGCCACAACTAAAGATCCAGCCTGCCACAACTAAGACCCGGTGCAGCCAAAATAAATTAATTAATATTTTTTAGAAAACAGATGATTTTGTTTGGCCTGAGGCGTCCCAGCACTGGAGCTTACAGGCTGTTGGGTGGGGCCAGGTCTCGGTGCCATGGCCGCAAAATGTCTCCCTCCAGACAGAGTTCACTTCCCTGCTATGTCCACCACCAGCTTTTATGACCCCAGAGAGAGCCATAGCCACCCCCGCCCCCTGCCTCCCCAGGAGACCCTCCAAGACAAGCAGGTAGGTCTGGCCCCGACTTCTGTGAAGTCACTGCTTTTGCCCCGGGACCCCTGTGCGTGCAGGACCTTGTGCACACCCTCCAAGCGTGGAGTCTCTGTTTTCCCCAGTCCTGTGGTGCTCCTGCAATCAAGCCCTGTTGCCCTTCAAAGCCAAATGCTCTGGGGGCTCTTCCTCCCCATGCCAGACCCCTAGGCTGGGGAGCCTGGCGCGGGGCTCGGAGCTCTCCTGTGAGAGAACTTCTGTGATATAATTACTCTCCAGTTTGTGGGTCGCCCACCCAGGTGGTATGGGATTTGATTATATTGTGAGTGCGCCACTCCTACTGTCTTGTGGTTTCTTCTTTATGTCCTTGGATGTAGAATATCTTTTTTTGGTAGATTCCAGTCTTTTTTTATCGATGGTTGTTCAGCAGTTAGTTGTGATTCTGGTGTGCTCGTGAGAGGAGGTGAGCTCAAGGTCCTCCTACTCGCCGCCACCTTGTCTCTGTCCTCGAAGATGATTTTGTTTATTTCTATTTTAGTGATTTGACAAGGGCTCCATTTAGATGAGGTCATATTCTGATGCTTTTCCACTGATGGCCAGTGATTCTCCTTTAACTCTAGTTTTGCTCTCCCTGCTGTGCTAATGAAAGCCGCCTGAGAAAGGGTCTGGGAGCCTCCCTGTACAAGAGGAGTTTGCTCAGTCCCCCTTTTTCTCAGGATACCCTTCCCAATTTTCACTGACTGATCTCACTCCTCCACAAGATGTGTCCTGGAGCAAACTATGTGCACATAAGCAGCACCTTGCTGTTTTCATTTAACAATTAATATTTCCATTCCAACATGGTTCATATAGATGGACCTCATTCTGCTCAACAATTGTTATGTGCCTTGCTCAGAAAGGCATTTCTCACTCTAAAATTATAAAAATGTTGCTCATGCTTCTTATGGTTCTTTTAATGATTTAATCACCACACAATATATTGATTCATATGGAATTAATTTTGACATATGGTGTTATCTATTTTCCAAAAGAGTCATTCTCTGATTTTGATAGTGGCCCCTCCTTTTTATTCTCCTAATGACCATATTTTTCAATAGAACTTATATGTATTAGGTGAAAGTACTGCTTTCTACTAATTGACCCACCTAAACCCAAGATAAAGTGAGATGTGGATGGCCTTGGTAATTTATTCTATTACTCTGGTCCTTGGTGTCCTCAGCTGAAGAAGAAGAGGAGTTAGATTAGATGGCCTTGAGAGATCCTTCTCGTTGTACAGGCAGAATGTGACTGGGGAAAGATTTCATGACCTCATTCTGTGAAGGTATGAATTACCTAATAACCCAAGGCAGTGCTTTCACATAGTATCTTCCCTCTTCCCTTACAAGCACAGTGAGTACATACTGAAAGCCTGCAGAATGCACTGACTGGCAAGTTCAGTGCTCTAGGCTAGCTGGACTGGGCCTAGCTATATGACAGGGGATTTGCCTGGTTCCTCTCTCAATGACTAACTTCCTGCTCCTGATCACTACCTACCAAGAAAGGGAATGATTCTGGACAGGCTCCTTGTGCCTATTTTTAAGAACAACCTGGCTTTTAATTAATGTAGTGCCACAGTGTTTGTTACTGTTTGCCTTATCAATGTGGCTGTCTTGAGTCTTAAACTCTGAAAGTTAAGAAACCGTCAGGGGCGAAGGATCAGGATCCCCATGCCTACTATAAGCCAGACTCAGTTCTACTCCTCTCTCTGCCTTCATTCTGTGTTGGGGCCTTGAGCACTTCCATTCCCTATTCTGGGCCTTAAATACCACACATTTGCTGCAATTCTCCTTTTTGTACTTCACCCAGTTTTAAACATAACAAGTAAAGAGAGTGCTTTCCTTGCACACTTAAAATGAGTTATTTCCAGAACTGGTTTCCAAGCAGATGCACAGTTGCCCTGTGTGTGGGATATTCAGGTTGGAAGCCAGCAGACAGTACAGGGCTTCTTTGTAGACAGATGGGGATTAATTTCTAAGTTACACAAAGGCATTAATTTTTGTAAATCATGAGCAATCCATCCCATGGCATTTGAATAAGTTGACTTCAATTTGTTTAAAATAAAAAATAAACACACAGACAAATGCAAACAAGTGCACATGCAGTCATCATCTTGCTGTTTAGCTGAGAAGCTGTTGGTTCCAGGGAAGTGTTCATCTAAGGAGACCTGTGTAATGGTTAAATAAGGGCCTGAACCATGGTTTCACCTAAATGTAAATCACTAATTGGCAGAGCAGAGGACTTTACAAACCACAGACTGTAACTGAAATTGAGAAAGATGCTGTGATTCACTACAAAACAGCTCTCATTGAAATGAAGGAAGCAAGAAGAACAGTAGGTGACTAGAGTATTTCTAACTCCTAAAGGAGTACTGTCTTTATTTCTAAGTCCTAAGGGAGCAAGGGAGTCTTTATAGACAGCACAGCCAGCAATTCATTTGAGAACCAGGGATGCCCTTGATTCACTTCAAGCAGTGAGATGAGAAACCTGGTAGAACTATCTGTCCTGAGGCAGCAGGGTTACTGGGCGGAGGATTGGTGCTCCAGAAAAGGCATAGAGGGACCAGGGCATTCCCATACAGAGGTGAAGCCCACTACCTAGTTCAGCTCCACATCTCTTCAGGGCTAATCTTATGTACCCATTCTCTCATCTGAAACACTCTATGGAACCTCACCACTGGCAGAAATCTGGCTAGGGTCAGAAAGTTCACATTCACTGCTCACCAGTGCCCCCTACTGATAACCTCAAACTCGACACTCACATGTCTTGGCCACAGTTTCCAAAGAATCCAAAATTGACTGACTTCTGGAACTGAGATGTTCCTCAAATTTTTCCACAGATGTCTGTAACTTAAGAAACCCAAAATTAGGAAATAATTCACAGACTGTTGCCTTATTTTATTAACTTTGTGAACTGTCATTTAATGATAAAAAAGGGTAGTTAAAATATTGCTATTCTACACGAACAGAAGTCAATACAATATAATTATTAAACTTCTTAAAATGCAAGATGTTCTAATGCCTTGAAATGTGGCACACTTACCCTGTTAATGCTTTCTTTGATATGGGAAATGAAATTGTATAGAGTATCACTAAAATAGGAGAGAAAAAAGAAAGTAAATCTTTGTGAAATATTGAAACAGTAGGTAACAGATTTGATTCCATAAACATGGCTGGCCTCTACCTAGTGCAGCATCAAAACGGTGCTTGATCAGAGTTGAAGACTCAACTCTGAGAAACCTTAGTGCCCAGATGGAAAAAAGGAGAACACTGACTTTTCCTGATCATTTCCAAAGCAAAACACTTTTTTGTTTTTTTTAAATTTACTCTACAAGGATCTTAAATGAGGTTGCATTTTAGCAATTCAAGTGGTTACTGCAGTAGAACAGACCAGCTTTCATTTTTATGGCAAACATGGCTTCCCCCAAATTCCTGGATACATCTTAATCTAATGACTATTATTTTGACAGTAAGAATGAGATAATATAGAGACAGTTCTGGGAACAATATTAATTTCTAATGAAAAAGAAATTTTCACAATTATTCCTCAAATAAATATCCCTCTTTTGAAAAAAATCAGACAAGGGTCATCATTAAAAATTTTTACAGATTTTTGGTTTTTAAATCTATACAAATGCAAATATCAATTTTTTTTTTTTTTTTT